ATGAATTGATTGTCTTAATTTTCTGCCGTATTGGGCTATAATGAAGACTGGCAATGCCATGCTGTGTGTAATAGGGGAAAATTTGTGAGGACGGCGGCAATAGCCTCCTTTTTTCGATTTTCTACTCTCGAAGAATTTTTAAACGTGCCCCAGCCTGGAGCACAAGGAGTTTCGGTTTATTATTTTTTTTCTGAACGGCTACTTTTTTTCACTGTAAGAAGAAACCGGTTGAGATTAACCCACCGCGCAACTATTTATGCAAATTTACGATGAAAGAGTTAGTTACATTAGCTGACAAGCTTCTGACAAGTTTCTTATAGTGCGAAAAGCCGAAAATTTCACTTCATAGTTTTCATCTTATATGAATCAGAAAATATAATGAAATAATTTCCCTGGTTATTAGAAAGTAACATTTATGAGACTTCATTAGAAATATATATAGGTCGTGTTTGGTCATTGATTTAAATTGGGCGTGGGGGTGAAATATCAAACCGTATTCATTATCTTGTTTTCCTTTTATGACGGACGTTGTTAACCAAATTAGACCATCCATCTACGTCAAAACTATTGCAATGTCCTTATTACAGTTCTGCAGCTTCTTTCAATTACATTTTGTAGGTGTTATTTTGATTTAGAGGAAAATTTCGCTTGTTTCAAATGTCAACTGAGAAAAAACTAACAATGAATGACGCAGGGCTGTCAAGGAAAATTTATAGATCTAAAAATTATTATATTTATTGCATTGTTTTGCAAACACGACCATTAGGTATGATTTAAATGCGAATCAAGATGCTTTGTTTCATTTTTTCCCTCCGACATTCTCCACTTGTCATCCAAAATCTGTTGTCATCTATATCTTCCGATCAAGGTACATTAACCTGCAGAAGAAACAATAAAAGAAACAACTAGCTCTGTATTTTTATCAGATTGTTAAAAAGCAGTAGAAAGATTAGTGACTAAAAGAACTAACGATGTGGTCTTTGGAGGCGACAGACAAGCACGCATGCTTGGAGTCTTCTGTGGTCGGATATTAACAGTTCCAGCAATTCCGTACCTCAAGGGAAGTAACTTGTACTGAACAAAATGTAAGTTTAGTCGGTTGCTATTGCTCCATCTAAATTAAATTAGAATTCTCGTGTTTATATTTTGAATTGAGTCGGACCCGGAAGATCAGGAATATCTTTGCAATATAGTGTTTTCTCGGAATTGATTTGTATATTCATGACGTCACAATATAATTTCCACAATATTTAAAAATCCAACCTAATCAATTTTATAGTTGGATTATTGAGCATATGGTCCATTACATAGTTATTTCTTGCGATTGCATCACCATCAGCTATTAATGTCTTGGCAGTTCAAGACTAGATGTGTTTGTAAACGTTACTGGTAATTCGAGTATTACAAATTGTAAACACAAGGAGTGTGAAGGGCAGTAGGCTGACATATTTTAGCTGAATTCCGATCTTTAGATGTCTGGTAGGAATGTCATGAAACATTTTCCGATTCGTTTATCTTGGCACCACATTCTGTATTTAACAGATATCTTTAAAGAGACAGATGTGCCTTTTTTGACTAATCGTACCCTAGTCTTATTGACAATGCCATATGTAGAAAAGACATCTATACAAATAGGAAAAGAAATTCCTAGTTTGAAATATTTTTAAAGAAATTATGCGATTTTCATTTCTAGTTTTCTGAATGTACATTTTGCAGACTCAAATCAACCCCCTAAAATGCCGCCTCTGCCCCTTTAAGAAAGAAGAGTATATACTGAATTATAAAGGCCCACAGATTAACTGCGCAATGTATGCATCCTGGAACTAAAACGCTAAAAAGCTTTTCAGCTATTTTTTTCAATGGTCATCAATATATTCACACGTATCAACTGCCGGACAAATACTGTTTACCTACGGAAACTATCGAACAGTGGCGAAAGTTGAGCCGAATGCAATGTATTATCATGTTCATTTAAATATCATTTATTCTTTTATCAATCAAAAGCCCTGTATAACTTTCACAAGGAACGTCAGATGTCCAGTTTGCTTGCATTTAAAAAAACGTGCCTTCCGACAGGTAATGTCCATTTTTAGTTTATTATGGATAAACCAGACGTCGGAGTTTCGGTCTGAAAAGGGATATTGATTGGGAAATTGAATTTGAACTTTGGTCACGATCTGATCAAACGATAAAGGTTATTACTGATAATAAGTATCTTGTGACAATGAGATGGTGCCTTTCCTAGGAGTGCTTTATGTCTGTGAATCATTGAAAACAAATAATTGCAGACCATCCCACTTTAAATAACTAAGGTTTAGAAATATATATATCTGTAGTACATCACTCGAAAGGATTATCAGAACTTAGTTTACCTGCAACTCGTCAAACTAGAAGGCAATGTACGTTAGTTTGATAATAAAGTGGAACTGCAGGCTTGCAAAATTATATCCAAAATTTAGAAATTTTAAAACTTTTTATTTTCAATTATTACATGATTAAGTGGTTTTAAAATTCGTCGGGCTGAACCGCTTAGCGATAGTCACAAAGAATATCCCTTTTGAGTGTCAGTTTCGGATATCTGCGCATAGTTTAGCCAGGTAGATATGAGCATCAAGCACGAGATGAAGAGTTTGTCCACATTGTCCGCGGGAAATAGATGAGTTCCACTTTATGTTAGTTTGCCCCAAATATACAGATCTCAGGAAAAAAAACCTACAACGATATTTCTGGAGGAAACCATCCGTTTTTAAGCTAGTGGATTTTCTTAATTAAAATTCGTTAGGTAATTATCTAAACTGTGCTCTGAAGTGTAGAAATCAGTGATATATACATACTCGTCATATTTATGTCAAATGAAATATCATTTTATTTACTTTCTTTATTAAAAGTAAACTCTCCACCCACCTTTCGCCGCTTTATCAATTATAAATCAATTATATTTATTTTGTAATTGCTTATGTACTTTGTATAAATAATAAATAAATAAATGTAGAAGTTTCAATGAAAATTAATAAGAGGTCGCACACTTGCGGCGGTGCGGCAGAGTGTCACAATTTACATTATAATGTTATTTTCATGGTCGTAGCGGAATAATGCTTGGTGGCGAAGCTGACATATCGAATCAGAGAACCTCATGCGGCGCCTGTTTAGAATAAGGAGTAACAGAAATTCGTATTCGTCCTCCATGTTGAAAAAAAAAAGTCATGTGACCTTATTTCAAGGGTCACGTGTTTCTTTTCGCTCTAATATCTGCGCTCACTTCGCGTTAAGTTGCATTCT